ATAGATCATGAAAAGCAATGACATCTTACGCTTTGGCCTTGGAACTATGGGTTTCAATTAAGGGACCAACAACAAGATCAGTGTATTAGTATCCTGCAGACACTGCTCCAAAGCACCTTCTGCTGGGACTAGGGAACAGCATGGACCAGAAATCCTCATATTCTCTTCCACAACGGAGACAGGTGGCCTATGGTCACATTTTGGCTCTGACTACTTGACCCCAAGCTTTTCCTTCTTTGCTGGGGACAATAAGTAGGGCACTGGCAGGCTGCAACAAGTGGCCACCTCTACTTTCTGACTGGTCCTGTCCACTGCCATGTACTACCTGGATTGTGACAACAGCCTCCTCCAGACCTCCTTCCTCCTGCCCTCCTGCCAAGTCCCTTCTTCCCATAGCAGCCTGAGTCAAATCATGTCTCTGCTCTACACAGAACCTGCTAAGGATTTCCCATCACTTTCAGAATAAAATCTACACTTATTGCTCCTCCTGCAAGGCCCTGGCATCTCACTGAGGGAAACTTGTCAGGTGAGCCACAAAAGGACCTCAGGGCCACATAAACAAAGAGGTTCCTATCTACACAGATGGTTCTCCACCAGCATCCCTGCCTTTCTCTGTGCTGGGTGCACCCTCCTTTAAGCACGTTTTCCTGGGAGGCCACTTGGGAGTCAGTCTGCCTGGGTTTGAATACTGGCTCTACCCCTTCTCCAGCTGTGTGACTCTGGGCTCTTTTCCTCATCTATAAAATAGAGATAATAGTGCCTGCCTCAAAGGTTATCAGGATTCAATAAGATAATCCACATACAGTACTTAGCATTGTATCTGGCATACAGTGAGCATTCAATAATATTAGCCATTATTACATGTACATGTGTCAAATGTATTTGCATAAAGCCACACATGCAGTTAAGAATTAAAAGGTCTCAATCAATACACTATTACATTTAATATAAGATTCTCCCTTTTCCACTTTGTACACTTAGGTACTCTTTAAATTCTTAACAGCGAGTGACTGTTACTTTTTAAATAAAGAAAAAAATAAAAATATAAACCTCTAACCTTAACAAAACTAAGGTCTGTCAAAAACTCACACTGGGAGGTCTAAATGGAATTCACTGAGCTTGGTGGACCAGGCAGTTCCTGGTTTGGGGCTCCCTATGTCATGGGAGACATTGCCAGTAAAGGGGCTGAGGACAGGGCAGTCCTGGCCTGGGCTTGTCCTATCCAGGTTTAGGGGCTGACACTTAGGTGTGTGCTGCCAAAGCCCAGCTCCAAGTCTGTCCTTGCCCCAGTGGGAAGTTCAGTGCTGCCAACACACTCTCCTTTTGCCAGGAGATGTAGGCCTGCTTGACTGTCTGCTTGGTGGCCGGTGGTGGTGGCCATATGGGGCAGACCAGCCAGCTGGCTTGGAAAACAGCCGGGGCCCTCGCTCTGGCCCCATGCCTTGGTTTATAAGAGCCTGTTACATGTGTGTATACAGGAGAACAGAACTCTGTGCATGAACTCAACCCTTGCTCCCCAGAGTGTACCTCTGACCTCGCATCAGAGGGCGATGGCCACGACAGCAGTGTCATCATCATATCTGCCACTTAGAGCTCCCTGCCTTGCAGCCTTGTGCTTCCACACCTGTGCTCTTCTTGCCACTTCAAGAAACGGGGCAGCACAAAGTCTATTTTACAGATGAAGATACCGAGGTGCCCAGAAGTAAATCCATCTGCCGAAGGTCACTAGGCTAATGAGTGGCAGAGCCAGACCGAACCCAAGGCTGTCTGTTCCCAGAGTCAGAATTCAGTTTTGACCTGAGAGTGAATGTGATGAGTGGTGAAGAGCATGAGCTCAGGACCCAGGCAGTTTGGGTCCATGTCCAGCTCTGCCATAGGCTTCAATGTCCTCATCTATAGAATGAGGATCATAATGAGATTGTAGAGAGAATTTGAAGGGTAAGTGCATATAAACACTTAGGACAATGCCCGGCAGGAATACTAGTATGTGCTAAAAGTGTTAGCTATTGTTACTACTCTGAGGCTATGAAATCCTCTGTTCTGCCACCACGACAGAAAGGGTCTTGGGAAGGAACCAAGCAAATCTTGCTGCCTTTCCCTCCAACTCCAGATGATGAGGTCCCCGGGCCTGAGTGCCCAACAGGGCAGCTATGCAAGGACTCAGCCTACGGCTGAATCTATGTATGACCTGTGTGTGTGTGTGAGGATAAAGAAAGGGCTGCTTGTGGTTGTGAACTTCACGGTGGGTCAAAATTCACAGGACTGACTGGCATGGACAAGGGGACAGTGGAATGAGACCACTCTCAACCGCTGACTTCACTGGCCTTTCCCTAAGTGCCAGGCCCAGCACTGACCACTTTATAAGTGCGATCTCACAGAGCCCACACCAGTCCAATGAAACAGAAATTCCTAAGAGGGAAACAGGCTGTGAGAGAAGCTACATGCCCAAGATTTCACAGCTGTTGAATGGCCAAACCAGGATCCACACCAGGCTTCCCTTACTCATTTCTCCTTCCTTGCTTTACTTTCCACCTTGTCATACACACACTATATAATTTATTAAGGTATCTGTGTATTGTCTGCCTCCCTCACAGGAATGCAGTCCCATGAGTATTTTTGCTGCCTAATTCATTACTTCCTGTTCTCTCAGCGCCCAGCATAGAGTTGGCAGAGGGCAGTGCTGAGTGATTCTCTTTCTTTTATTAAAAAAATATTTTTTAATCATTTGAGAGAGAGAGAGAGAGAGAGAGAGAGAGAGAGAGAGAGAGAGAGAGAGAGAATATTAACATCGATTGGCTGCCTCCTGCACGTCCCACAACCTGGGCACGGGCCCTGGCCAGGAATAGAATCGGCAATCTCCTGGTGCATGGGTTGATGCTCAACCACTGAGTCACAATGGCCGGGCCTGAGTGAATCTCTATGGGGTGGATAAAACTCCAACTTGTGGCCCTGAGCCTCAGGCCCCACCTGGGCAGACTGGAGGTTGGTTTTGTGGGTAGTAAGGAGATGGAAGGAGGCACATGCCAGAAATGGCTCTAAGCCAGTTTCAAACTTATTGAAAAGGAACCACAGCAAAAATGTTGCACCCTGACCCAATATCTCCACACCAAAGTCTCATGACTCTCAGAATGTGCAATGCAGTCTGGTATTTTAAAAATCCATTCTACATATTCTATTTCCACTAACAACAACAACAACAACAACAACAACATAAAAATACTGACACTAAGCTGAGTTCACAACTCATGAATGGGTCTGACATAGTCTAAGCTGTTATTGAAATCCCAGAGGCAGCTGAGCTGTGGTTGGAGCACAGGCTGACACCTCACTGTACCACTTACTGAAGGGTGCTTTGGGCAAGTCCCTTAACCTTTCTATGCCTGTTTTCTCATCTGTGAATGGATAATAGTGCCTTCATCACAGAACTGTCATGACATTTAAGTGAGTGAACAGACATAAAAGGGTAGAGAAATGCCCAACACATAGTGTTAAACAGCTATAGCAAATATTATTAGTATTTGGTGATCATTGCCACTACACCTAGCAGTTTCCCATGTCATACAACAGTGTCATACAGTGTGAGCTCTCTCCTCACATTCTGCCCCAATGCTCATGTGGCCAGAAAGGCAAGGAGAGAGAGGAGAGTGCTGGAGAGACAGGGGTAGGTGACCACCTGCAAAACGGGGCACAAGGTTTGGGGGCTGCCTCCCCTCAGCTGCCACAAAGCTTCTGTGTTATATCACATTCCCCCTCAGTGGGAAGGACTTCATGAGGGGTTGGGGCTGGGTTCTTGGTATAGCATCTACCTATCTGGATGAGTTCCAGGCTTGGCTGGCCCCTCACACCATGTCTGGGCAAACGCCAGGCCCAAGGGGCTATGCAGGGCTGAGGGAGACCCATTTTGGGGGACCTTCCCAGCTGACAATTGCTCCTTTTCTGGAAAGGTTTTTTTGGAAATCTCCATCGTTTTTGTTCTCCCAGTTCCCCTTTTTTTGGTCAAGCAGCCTCCTCCAGGTGGCTCTGATGGAAGTGTCAATCACAGTGCCTTGCCCTACCCCAGTTTCCTCTATCATCCCTGATGACAATGGCTGGCCCAGGATGTGCGTGGACTTGTGATCCAAGCAGAGCCAGAGTCCTTCCCAGAGATTCAACAGATAACAGTGTCTTCCCTGTAGAGAGAAAGTCATAAAGATATAGAAGAATTGAGCGGCCAGTCTCCATTTTCCCGTGACATGAAGAGAGTTTGTTGGAGGCAAAAGAGAATGACATTCACAATCTAAAAAGCTGAGCAGGATGGAGAGATGAGGAGGCAGAGTTCTCTGGTGACATTGTTGGAGTGCCTGGGGCCACCATGCCAGAAGCTAGCCCTACCCCTGGATTTGCAGATATATGAACCAATGAATTCTTTTTCTGGCTTAAAATGTTAGAAGTAGATTTCTGTTACTTACAACTTCAGAGCCTAATCAAGCAGGGTGCCCCCAATAAGCCTTGTTCCTTAGTCACAGTTGACATGTAATCCAGAGGAAGGCCTCTGACCAAGCCAGGATAATGGGATTCTCCATTCAGGATGAAGAAATGCAATGGGAGTGTTTTGAGCCATCAGCATCAACAGCAGTGCTTTGGGCTGAGATTTCCCAATTCCTGCCCTGCCCAGGCATGCTGCCTTAAATCTTTTTTTCACTCTGCAGGATACCTCATGGTCCTGAAAGAATCCTCTACATACCTTCCTTTAATAATTTCTTGCAAATAGAAGACCCAGGGCTCTGCAGTGAGACACAACAGATTCCAGTTCTGGCCTGGACACTCATTCACTGATCTTAGACAAGTTTAATTTCTCTGAGTCTTACTTTTCTCTTCTGTAAAATGAGGAGACTCGTGTTTGTGAAGTTATTGGGAGGATTACATGAGATGAAGCAGCTGAAGCGCTTGCCCATAGAACCTGGCTCAGAGGAAGAGTGCACAGATGTGAGCAGCTATTATTTACATAATAGGGAACCTACCTCTCGGGTCCGGAAGATGATCCTATACTGGTACTGAGGCCCATGGTCCTTGTGGTCCTCCAGCTTCTCTCGTTTGATGCTCACAGCCACTGGCCCTAGCTTGTCATCCACACCAAAGTAATTGGCATGCTCTGTGAGAGAAGAGTAGGTGAGTTCAGAGTCAGCTCTCTGGTGATATCCCACGGCAGGCCTGCTGAGGGGATGGCGGGTGTAGGCTCTCAGCCCAGTCACGGCCACATTCAATGGAGAGACCATAAGAGGTGAACGCCCATCTTACTACACCATGTCTGCCAAGTCACACAACTTGAGCTTCAGTGCTCTCTCAGAAATGAGGGCCCTGACATTACCCACAATTCACAGAGCTGATGGGAGGGTAAAATAAAGCTACAAATATAAAATGCTCAGTGTGGTACACAGCACGTAATAAACCCAGTGTCATTGTGATTCTTCTGTATTTGCAAATGTTCATCAGTTTAGCTGCCAAATTACCTCTCATGAAATGGCTAACACTCTAGAAGTGATTAAGATTCTAGCTAAAGAGCCTTTGAAGCCTGACTAGCAATGTTAGATGTTTGGCCCAAGTCACTTGATAGTCTTCTCATCAGTAAAATGGGATCAGTAAGTATGGACCCACTTCTCAGTATGATTGTGAGAATTAAGTTAAAAAGTACTAAACACTCAGCACAGAGCCAGGCACACAGCAAGCAAGTGAGCAGTGCTAGCTATTACTACTCCCAGGGCATAATGTTTGTCACAGAAAAAGGACCATGATTCAGGTCCATAAGCATCACTTTTATCTGATCGCATTTCTGTAGATCCAGGAAACTTAACCACTACTCTTTTTTTCCCTTGTGCTGACATAGCCATTAAGGAGTCATGGAGGAAGTCTCTTGCTCTCTCCAGGAAACGACAGCTGTCTCACCCCCTTTCTAAAACATGCTGCTGTTTTATTATGCTTCCAGAAAACTATTCTTCCTGATGTATAACCCAAGTATCTCCTGCCTGTGGTGGATATCCATCAGCAGTCTGACTTGATCCAAGTCCATGAAGTCAGCATCTACCCACTGTTAGAAATTCCTTTGCATCCAGTGCTCTGATGTTGAATTGACGGTGCCTACTTTCATGAGATGCTCTTGCAAATCAAAGGTTTATCTAAGGCCCAAATAATATGTTAGTTAATGACCCAATCAGAACAGCACCTAAAGTGGGTTCAATAATTTCCCCAGCTGGCAGAGAACAGAGTAAATACTATACTCCACAAATACCAGTTCACTCCTGAAGCGGTTGTTGTGTTTGTTTTTTAATACACTAATGCATACCCAGGTATCTCCCAATTGGTCCTGGCATACAGTAGGCACTCAATAAATAATGACCAATGACTAATTAATTTATGAGCTTCCAGGGCTACAAAAAAATACTTTTTTAAAGTAAGCTGCTTTTTAAAAAGTTACGTGAGTACTTACTACCAGCCTGATGAAGAGCTACATGTTTTAATGTACAATCCTTTTTGATCCTCATGACAGTCCTTTCATGTAGGTATTTCTAGGTGTGAGTTGAAAAGAATGTGTCCTCTGTTAATTAGGTACAAAATGAATATGCACAACTGTATACATATGTATATGTAATATGTATACAAAATGAATATGTACTAATATCAAAACCCAGTTTTGATGGGTTATTCAAATCCATTTCTACCTTATTGTTTTGGCTCCTAGACTCATCAATTTCAATGAGAGGCCCTGTTAGCTGCTGCCACTGATTATGGATTTGTTCACTTCTCCCTGTATACATATACATATGCCCCTAAACCAGGTTGGCAAATACAAAGGGTTCACAACTATTAGAGCTTTTTGGTAAATTTTTAAATATCAGCATGAAATGGCCTTTTCAGTTCCTCCTAAAAGAGCTTTTAGCCTTGAAATACATTTTGTGTGATACTGAGGTTGCCTTACCTGCTTTCTCTTGGTTAGCAATGGACTGAAACTTCTTTTTTAATCCCTTTATTTTCAATTTTTGTGTCATTTTGTTTTTGGGCATGTGATACTACTACAATCATGTCTATTCCTCACATGAGGACATGGAGTCTAGAGGAAGAAATGTGTCATGTAGTTAATAAGCTATGGAATGAGCCCTGACTGGTTTGGCTCAGTGGATAGAGCGTCGGCCTGTGGACTGAAGGGTCCCAGGTTCGATTCCGGTCAAGGGCATGTACCTTGGTTTCGGGCACATCCCCAGTAGCAGGTGTGCAGGAGGCAGCTGATCGATGTTTCTCTCTCATTGATGTTTCTAGCTTTCTATCCCTCTCCCTTCCTCTCTGTAAAAAGTCAATAAAATATATTTTAAAAAAAAAAAGCTATGGAATGAACACCCCAAGCCCAGGGCTGCCTGACTCCAGAGACTGTACTCTGAGCCTTGCAGGATGACCTAATTGATATTGGTTATGCTTGAGTAGGACACTGCTTTAAAAATTTTTTCAACTAGTTGCTATAAACTATTAGCGGCCTATCCATTCATCCCTTCTTCCTTTTTAGGAAAACCCTCTAATCTTGGGGGAAGGAAAAAAAAAGGGACTATGTCTAGGTAAAAACCTCTACTACCCAGCCTGCCTTGCAGATAGGAGCAGACAATAAGCAGTAACAGTTGGATGGGCTTCTGAGAAAACTCTTTAAAAGGGAGTGACTTGAGCCCTGACTGGTTTGGCTCAGTTAATAGAGCGCCGACCTGCGGACTGAAGGGTCCCAGGTTCAATTCCAGTCAAGGGCATGTACCTTGGTTGCGGGCACATCCCCCGTAGTGGGTGTGCAGGAGGCAGCTGATCGATGTTTCTAACTCTCTATCCCTCTCCCTTCCTCTCTGTAAAAAAAATCAATAAAAAAATATATTTTAAAAAAAGGGATTAACATGACAGGAGGTCTGCCTTTTTGCCCTTATCCTGTCCTCTTTTTCTCTGCCTGGAAACATGCATGAAATGGCTGGAGCTCCAGCAACCATCTTGGACCAGGAGACCACCTGAGGTCTGGAGACCATGTACTAAGGTTGGCATTCCACTGATGCTGAGGAGTAACAATACCAGCCCTGGGCTGCTGACCTCTGAACTTCTTCATGAGAGAAATAAACTTCTATGCTGTGTAAGCCTGCTACTGGTAGTTGTAAGCAATTGTGAATTGATTCAGCTACCAGCATTTAAACATTAGAAGAATTCACATTTTAAAAAATTTGAATTTCAGGAGAATCTTGAAAAAAATCAGAAAGGATGGCAACCCTGGGTTTGTCTGCATTTCCTACATGACAACGATGAGCTGGACCTGAGCAGGAGCTGCCCTGTGCTTAGTCCCTGGTTGGTATGCTTCACTTCTGTACATGTCCTGCCTGGGTTTGTGGTCTCTGCACTATGCTATGTTGCTTCGTGGAATTTCCCCACCAGCACCAACAAATTTAATGATATATGAAGCCTGTCTCTCTCTGGCGTTAATGACTTCAAAACATCAATAATTCCACCTTCAAAGGGGATCCAGAGCCTGCCTGTTTCTTCCCTGCCCCTATCCTAGATGTGTCTAGCATCGCCTTCTTCTTGGCTCTCTACCCCCAGAGGGAGGCTGTGAACATAGTCCTCTCCTGCTCAGAACCTCCTGCAGCTCCATCTCACTTGGGGTAGAAGTGAGAGTCCTCACTATGGCCCACAAAGTCCCACATGATCTGCCCCTGTCACCTTTCTGCCTTAGCTCCTTCTCTTCTCCCCCAGTCGCTCACCCCAGCAACAATGGCCTTCTTCCTATTTGGTGTTTCAGGACTATCGTACCTGTTGTTCCCTGTGCTGGAAACACTGTCCCTAGTCTTCCTCCCCTACCTCCTTCAGCTCAGTACTCAAATGGCACCTACTAGGAGGTTCTTCCCAACCGTTCCCTATTGAAAATCGTAACCTCCCACCCTGACACTTTATTTTTCTCTTGGCTGCTTTACTTTTCTCCATAGCACTTCCTACCATATGACACCTTACATATTTTATCTATATATCTATTTTTAAAAATGTTTTTATTGATTTAAGAGAGAGGAAGGGATATGGAGAGAGAGATAGAAACATCAATGATGAGAATCACTGATAGGCTGCCTCCTGCACACCACCTACTGGGGATCGAGCCCACAACCCGGGCATGTGCCCTGACCAGAAACTGAACTGTGACCTCCTGGTTCATAGGTCGATGTTCAATCACTGAACTACACCAGCCAGGCCATTTATCTAATTTTATTGTTTGCCTTACACCCACCCCTAAAACATTATAGTGCTAGGAAAACAAGATTTTTGTGTTTAACTGTCCAATACTGTATCCCCAGGTTCTAGAGAGTGCTGACATAGGGTGAACCAGGCACATGTTTGCTAAATAAATGCCTACCTATTGCCTCACATAGCTCAAGGTTTTGGCATGCCAGCCCTGTGTCCTGAGGCTTGCTCACTAAATCTTCACAGCTCTGCTCTGACATAGTTCCCAGCACACAATGAGTGAATGAGCAAGGGAGTCTCAGAGACAAACTACCGCCCGCCTGCCTGCCCCAGTCACCTTTGCCCACGAAGTAGTCCTGGTAGTAGCGGGCGCCCAGGTCCACATGCTCGATGCTGTACTGCTGCGGGCGACTCTGCGTCCTCTGTTGCTCCTTGGGCACCTCCAGCACAGAGATGCTGGCGTTGGTGCGGTAGGTGCTGGGGCTGGGCTCAGCCAGGCGGCACTCGCTCCCACCCAGGGAGGCGGCTGAGGCCCGGGAGAAGCTCACATTGCGCTCACACTCGCCACCGATCTCATTGCGGAAGTGTGGGCAGCTGAGCAGCAGGTCGTTGCTGTTGTCATCGCCCAGGTCCTGCTCCAGGTTCTCCTTGTAGTTCAAGTCCTCCATGCTGGTGAAGGCCGGGTCCAGGCCCCCAAGGCCATGGGCCCGCGACACTGTGAGGGACTCCATGGCTGAGGCGGCTGAGGCCCCAGTGGTGGTGTTCCGCCTCTGGGCCGAGGACACCCTGTTGGCAGCCGCCTCATGGAGGTCGAACAGCATGCTTTGCACATCAAAATGGGCGAAACTCTTCTGGCAGACCCATGGCCTGCTGGCCTCCGGGGGGCTCCGTCCTTCCTCTGCCTCCCCTGGGGACCGGCCAGTGTCACCTTCTGGTTTATTGCTCCTCAGCTTCCGGAAGATGGACGAGTCCACTGTGTCCCCACTGCCCAGGCCCCGCACAGGCTTCTTGCGGGCCCTCTCCTTCTCCTTCCCGGGCTGTAGTGGGAGAAGGTTGTCACTGGTGGGCTGCTCATGGCGGAGATCTCCCTTGGCTCCGCTGATGCTCCATGGAAGGTGTGGGCCTGAATGGGCCTGGAGGAGCTCCGTGAGGTTCTGGGAGCCCTGGGCCTCCGGCTGCTCGTTTCGGAACTCGTTGAGAATGTCAAAGAAGCTTTGCTCAGGCATGCCCTGCACATCGATAGAGGAGGTGCTCCCATATTCACGGAAGAGAGGCAAGGCCCCCATGAGCCTGCCCCCCTTAGCTTCCCCCATGTCCTCCAGGTCACACTCGCTGAGGGTGAGCTCACTGCTGCTGCGATGCCGCAGGGGGAGAAAGGCCCTGCCAGGGGACCGGGGCCACCCATCCTGGAATTCCACATCTTTGGACCGTCTCCTGGAGAGTCGGTGGAAGGCCCGGGACCCTGAGGAGGCTGGGGTGTTGGTGGCAGGCTCTCCATTCTGTATGCTCCTCATGGAATGGGCCACCTTTGTGGTCTTTGTGCCATCTGTGTCCTGTGAGGGGCTCGGGTTGTTCTGCTCTCTCAGGGCCTCTCTCTTGGGTGGCCAGTCAGCCACTCTTGCACGCACGCCCATCTTGGGCACTGTGGGGGTGGTGGGACTGGGGCGGGTGATGGCAGTAGCTGGGCTCTCACCAACAGGCTGGGGCATGCCATTCTGGACCCAGAATCCCACGGGAGCATAGTCTCCTGTTTGGGGCCCGGGGAGGACATTGGCTCCCCTAACCCCACAGCTGGCTGCCAGGTCCATGCCATCATTGGGAATGGGCCGATAAGTGGTCATAGTCCACAGGCACTGGAATGCTTTGGCCCCTGTAAGCTGTAGAGTAACTTTATGGGGTCCTCTGGCCCTCAGCCATTGTTCAGGGCTGCCAGTCCCAGGATGAAGGATGCTGGCTCCTGAAGCCTAACAGAAAGGTTGTGAGTCTGTGGAGTCCAATTCTCCACCATCGCTGTGGAAAACCGAGCCAGGACAACCTCAGGAGGCAGGTGTTGTCCCGGGAGCTACAGACTGAGTGGTTCAGCAGGGCAAAGCAAACAGCAGATGGAGGAGAGGGCCAGCAGGCTGCAGGGGTGCCATGCTGAAAAGGGAGAAAAGGCAAAGGTGAGATGTGACGTTACTGCTTCCAGAGAGTGACTTTTTTGGACAGCTTCACTCACTTAAAAAAACTTTTTATTATGGATATTTCCAAATATACCCCAAAGCAGAGAGAAGACTATGAAAAGCCACCCCACCAATTTCAATAGCCATCCTATCTAATAACAGACAAACATGGTAATTAACTATACCTCCGACATGCTTCCCATTGGCTAATCAGGGCGATATGCAAATTAACTGCCAACCAAGATGGCGGCCGGCAGCCACGGAGCTGAAGCGAACAGGAGGTTTGCTTGCTCCAGTGATGGAGGAAGCCAAGGTTCCCCACCTGCCGCTGCCGGCTCTGAGCTCCTGAAGCAACAGCTCCAAAAGATACAATGTTTCAATTATAGAAGCTAAAAGATGGCGGTTAATTTGCATATACCAGCTGCGAGCGAAGACTGAGGACAACATGGAGGCCAAGCAGTACAGAAGGGAGCTAAGTAGAGGCCGCGAGGACAGAAACGGAGCCAAGGCTGCGGAGGTGGGAGGTGGGAGGGCAAGCCCAGCCGTAGTGGCTGTAAGCGGGAGGGGCAGAGGCTTGGAGGGGAAGGGGCAGCGGCTGGGAGCGGGAGGGAAAGCCCAGCCACAGTGGCTTGGAGCGGGAGGGACAGCGACTTGGAGAGGGAGGGGCAGCGGCATGGAGCAGAAGGGGGAGCGGCTTGGAGAGGAAGGGGCAGCGGCAGGAATGGGAGGGCAAGCCCAACCACTGTGGCTGGGAGCGTAAGGGGCAGCGGCTGGGGGCGGGAGGGGCAGTGGCTGGGAGCAGGAGGGCAAGCCCAGCCCCAGCCACTGGGATCGGAAGGGCAAGCCCAGCCACAGGGGATGGGTGTGGGAGGGCAAGCTTAGCCCCAGTGACTGGGATCGGGAGGGCAAGACCAGCCGCAGTGACTGGGATCGGGAGGGCAACCTCAGCCCCAGCGGATGGGAGCAGGAGGGCAAGCCCAACCAGGCGGGAGGGGCAGCGGCTGGGAGCGGGAGGGCAAGCCCAGCCCCAGCGACTGGGATCGGGAGGGCAAGCCCAACCACTGTGGCTGGGAGCATAAGGGGCAGTGGCTTGGAGCAGAAGGGGCAGCGGCTTGGAGGGGAAGGGGCAGCGGCTGGGAGCGGGAGGGCAAGACCAGGGCAGGGGCTTGAAGCGGGAGCGAAGCCTGCCTCAGTGAGTTTCACTCCCTTCTCTGCTTTGCTCCAGCCACATGAAGCCCTATTCTTGCAGGAATATTCCTGCAACGGGCCTCTAGTCCTATCTAATAAAAGAGTAATATGCAAATTGACCGTCACTCCAACACACAAGATGGCCGCCCCCATGTGGACACAAGATGGTCAGCAGGGGAGGGCAGATGGGGAAGATCAGGCCTACAGGGGGAGGGCAGAAAGAGAGGACCAGGCCAGCAGGGGGAGGGCAGATGGGGGCAACCAGGCCAGCAGGAGGAGGGCAGTTGGGGACAACAAGGCCAGCAGGGGAGGGCAGTTGGGGGGACCAGGCCAGAGGGGAGGGCAGTTGGGAGAGACCAGGCCAGCAGGGGAGGGCAGTTGGGGGGGACCAGGCCAGCAGGGGAGGGCAGTTGGGGGGGGACCAGGCCAGCAGGGGAGGGAAGTTGGGGGCAACCAGGCCCAGCAAGGGAGGGCAGCAAGAGAGGACCAGGCCAGCAGGGGAGGGCAGTCGGGGGCAATCGGGCCAGCAGGGGAGCAGTTAGGTGTTGATCAGGCTGGCAGGGGAGTGGTTATGGGCTGATCAGGCTGGCAGGCAGAAGCGGTTAGGGTCAATCAGGCAGGCAGGCAGGCGAGCGGTTGGGAGCCAGCAGTCCTAAATTGTGAGAGGGATGTCTGACTCCCCATTTAGGCCCGATCCCACACTGGGCAGTCGGACATCCCTCAAGGGGTCCCAGATTGGAGAGCCACCCCCCCCCCGCACGAATTTCGTGCACCGGGCCTCTAGTCCTATATAATAAAAGCCTAATATACTAAGTGCCTGGTCGTCTGTTCAACCAATCAAAGTGTAATATGCTAATGATATGCTAAGGCCGCTCAAATGCTCGCTATGACGTGCACTGACCACCAGGGGCCAGACGCTCCAAGTGGTAGGTTAGCTTGCTGTTGGGGGCCGGCCGATTGGAACTGAGTGAGACAGGCTGGACATGCCCTGGAGCCCTCCGGCCCCCATCATGCACTGGTGGGGTCTTTCAGCCTGGCCTGCACCCCGTCAGGGGATGTTGGCGAGCTGGTTTCGGCCCAATAGTGGAACAACTGGTTGCTATGATGAGCAATGACCACCAGGGGGCAGACACTCAATGCAGGAGCTGCTCCCTGGTGGTCAGTGTGCTCTCACAGGGGGAGTGCCGCTCAGCCAGAAGCCAAGCTCATGGCTGGTGAGTGCAGCAGCGGTGGCGGGAGCCTCTCCTGCCTTCGCGGCAGCGCTAAGGATGTCCAACTCCCGGCTTAGGCCTGCTCTCTGCAAGGAGCAAGCCTAAGCCATCAGTTGGACATCCCCTGAGGGGCTCCCGGACTGAGACAGGGCACAGGGAGGGCTGAGGGACCACCCCCCACCCCTGCCAAGTGCATGAATTTCGTGCACCGGGCCTCTAGTATATTATAGTATTCTTCACTCATCTGTGAGAGATATACTTCAAGACCACCAGTAAAACCCTATGTATTATTATGCTTTTCCCCATACATATAACTATGATAAACTTTAACTTATAAATTAGGCAAAGTTCCTCAGATAACACCTGGGACTCTACAGATACCCCTGCCAGGGACCTGCTACCTCAGCTGGGGTCCCACGGTCAACGAATCTCCAGCCACCCTGGGCGCAGGC